TCAATGGTTTCAAATGCTGTTACCATCATAAGCCAGATTCTCAACAAGTTTTGATCTACTCCTGACCTTCCTGCTTTGTTCCAACCCCAAGATAGCTTTATGTTGGGGACCCCCACCCCCACGAGCCTCACAGCCAGCATGAGGTGGGGGTGGGGGATGGTCCTCGGGAAGGGTCAAGAATGACAGTGCCATCTTTGCAGGTGCCAAGCTCAGGGGCTGATCCTCCGGTTCACTTTTCTTACACATTTAAACAGTAGACATTTGGTTGTGAGCCTAGCCTTTAACAGCTGAGCCATCTCTCCAGAAGCCAGGTGGTGGTGGCGCACACCTTTAATCCCAACACTCAGGAGGCAGAGGCAGGCAGATCTCTGTGAGTTCAAGGCCAGCCTGGTTGGTCTACAAGAACTAGTTCCAGGACAGGCCCAGAGAAATCCTGTCTCTAAAAACCAAAATAAACAAACAAACAAACACAGTAGAACTTGTGACCTGTGACCTTTCTATTGACTGACACTCGGAGTTCAGGGCTAGGACCCAGGGAAAGGGCTGTGTTAAACATAAGGATGGATGCTATTGGAGAATGCAAAGTGCATGGGCCCCTTTCATAGGAATGTGCTCTAGTCAGTGCTGGACCAGGGCCTGAACAACGCTTAGGATATTGGGGGAGTTAGGCGCAGGTTGTCTCCTAATAGAACATCGAAGAATCACCAGGTTGATTGACCACTTTTCACTCTGGCTTTCCAGGTGACTAGATTGACGAAAATAGGCCCACATGATTGACAGTTCTAATTTCTCCATGTAAGTCATTCAAGAGACATTTGAGTGGCCAGGCCCCTCCCCTGAGCACCTCCAACTGCCAAGTTCCACCCGCAGAACGCTCTAACTACCCTAACAGCTGGACCCTGCCCCGCACTACAGAGTAAAAAGGCCAATCTCTGGACTCGAAATCCCACCAATCCCCACCCTGGAAAGCTTCACCCTGAAAAGTTCCACCCCCTTTCCCAAGAAACTCTATATAAACCTCACCTTCTGTTCAGTTCCTTGCTATTTCTCACCCAAGCAGAGGCAGCCGCCCACCTGGTTTTTTTCCCTTCCAATAAATCTCTTGTGTGAGGTTTGTTGTGCAGCGTGACTTTGTGATATTCCTTGGCTCCCAACTGCCAGGATAGTTTTCCATCCAAGCTGTAATCCTTCCACTACAAAGCTTTTTCTAAGCTGTGTTGCCCACAGCTTTATAATATGCACTTAAATTGTAGACTCTCCCTTCTATCAATCTCTTCTCTCCCCCTTCTCCCATCCCTGCACAACACCCTTCTTCTCCCTCCCCCCTCCCCAGTCCTCCTCCTTCCATATGAACTGCTCATTTTCTGGAGATTTCTCCTAATTTTCAAGATAACAAAGTAAAAAACTTAATCTTGAATAGGATCGTGACTATGGTATGAGTCAGTGTGAGTGAACTGCGTTTCCAGACAGTATCTAGCAGATCAGGTTTTGCACAGTAAGGAGGCTTCCTGGACTCTCAGTCACTTCCTAGGACTCATGGAATCCCCTGGAAGCCGTTGTAGTTGTAGATATGGTTTGTTATATTGAAGGAGTACAGAACACAGTCAGCCACGGAGAGAGGCACACGGTGGGCTGGAGGGAGGGATACAGGGACCTTCTAAGCATGGAGCTTACATTGTCCTCTCCCAAAGAAGCCACAGAGCCTCCCCTGCAGCAACAGCAGTGGAAGTTTGCCAGTCAGGGAAGCTCACCTGGGCCTAGGTCTTTATTGAGTTTGAAGCACATTGACGTGAGTGGCTGTTCACACTGTTAGCCTGTGGTTTGCACACATGTACACACCCCACTGAGGTAGTCTTAAACCTGAAAATTGTGAGGAGAAAGACCAGTTCCACGGTTATCCAGTTGAAGCAAACTATATTAAATACTGGCCAGAAAGAGGGACACTGGCCAGGACTGCACCTGAGATTCTCAGAGTGGTGCTCTGAGAATTAGGTCAGTCAGGTTCCTACAAAGGCCAAACTCACCAGGCTAAGTCCTTCGCTCCTTCGTCCAATCAGGTGCAAGCAAACATCCTGCCATACTTGGTGTCTGCATAGCTCCTGCCTATGAGTGGCCAAACACACCCTGTGCAGTTGGGGCAACCAATCTCATTTATTGAAGTGAAAAACGTGTAACTTGTTATCTTACAAGAACAAAAGCCTCCAGCATTCCAGGACACTAACTGTCCTTGGATAAGCGGGGCTAACAGATAAACTTTAGCCCTTATAGCAGACACTGTGTGGCCCAAGGTCATCATAAATCAGTTGTTAGGCTGTAGATATACTGAGACACTTTCACCAGGTTAGACATCCTAGTGAACTAGACATGACCTCACAGGATCCAGACCACAGCAAGCCATCTTTGGTTAGGTCTTTTAGCATACTTAAAACTTATGAATACGGGATTGTGCAAAATAGTCTGTAAGTATTCTTTTAATCTCCTCTGGCTGTGGTTTTTCTGTCAACATTTCTTTTTTGTGCTTTCTCCCTTCTTTTCTCTGGATAAGGTTCCCTAACAATTTCTAAATATTACTGGGTTTTTTATGCAATATGTGTATGTGTGTGTGTATGTATGTGTTACTAAAGATTAAACTTAGGGCCACATACATACTAGACAAACATTCTGCCTCCGAGCTGTATCCCCAAACCGCTAGGAATATTTCGCTACTGAATTCTGACCAAACAATAAATGCAGACTTGACTTTTTCAGATGAAGCTTATATATGTTTCAAACATCCAGCACAGAGGTAGACCAGGCCCAACTCAAAACTCAAAAGTTGGTTTGGAAGGATTCGCTCAGCACTTGAAAACACCATTAAAACATCAAAGGAAGCAGGTACCGTTTGCTTCGGTAGGTTTTTGTGGTTTGGCTTTGGTTTTTATAACTAAGATTTTAAAAAAGATTCTACTGAATTTTCACTCAAAGAGAAGCCTCTGTCCCTCTCCCATCCAAATGACTACAAGTACCGTTACGATAATAGTTTGGTAACTACATGGTGCCATTCAATCCATGCTTCCAGCACTTTATACATGTCCTCTTAATTTTTGCATCAGTCCTAAGATAGAAATGTCACATCCTATATTTTAAAGATGATAAAACTGAACCTCAAAGGGCTTACATAACTTGCTTGAGATCGCACTTCCTCTTCAGTAGAGAAGCTAGAATTTCGCACAGTCACTTAGTCTGATTTAAGACCCGTACATCTTCTCTGGATGCTCCCCTGCCTCCCCTCTGCCTCCTCTGCCTCTCCCCTGCCTTTTCTATCTCTCCTCTGTCCTAACTGGCACCAATAAGACAATTCTGCCTCCCTTGGCAAAAAAAAAAAAGAAAAAAGAAAAATTCCAGGCAAAGTATGACTGTTCTAGTCTACTCTCTGTGAATGGAAAAGTCCAGACCAGGATTTTGGAACCAAGATTCAGTAGGCTACCAGCCATGTAAAACCTTCACCTGTAGAAACTGTATAGTTACTGAGGACCCAGAGCCATGTGCTAATAAAGAAAAAAGCCAGAGAGATGGAGGTGGGGACTGAAAGAACAGGGGGTTGGGATAGCTGCTTCAGCAGGAGGACATCACGGATTGTGAGAGTTCACCAGTACTGACCACGGCGCCTACACATGCCAAACACACATGCCGAACACACGTGCCCCCTTCGCCAAGCCCATTAAGTTCACCTCGGCTGCCTGGCACCTGTCCTCTAAGGAAACAGGCAAAGAACTCCCTGTATTTGATGTTTCGGTGAATGATGCAGGCCAAATTTCAGTGGGGACCAGAGAAGACAACCACATGGGGGGCTAGAGGGCCTGGTAGAAGCAGCCAGAGACCTCAGAGCGCCTGCCAATGGGGCAGACTGTTAGAATCCCGCTGCAAAGAGATAAGGAACGTTCTGGTCCAGCCCTGAGAAGAGCAGGCTTTCTTTATATAGCAGCAGGAGTAGGCTGCAAGGGAATGTCCTGGCTGAAGGCCTCTCTCTAGCCAAGCAGAGTGGGGAGTGGGTGGGAGGAAGGAGCAAACTCTATAAATAACCCGGCATGCACTGATCTGCTTGTGGCCTTGTCTCTGCAAACCTTGAGACCTGGAGGAGGACAGGGACGTTTTTAGAGGCTTTCTTTGCTCTTTGTCTATCTGTGTATCATTGGAGTTGATACACTCTAGAATGAGTCTGAATGTTTAGCAGACATGAATAGAATGGTTAAAAGCATAAAAACAACTCATTTGTTTGGGGATTTCAGTGACCAGTGTGCCAGACTTGGCCTCCCCTGGGTGCCTGTACTTGTCTAAGCTGCAGGATCTGATCCATCATCCCAGATCTCCCCTGGGACTTCTGCATTCTCCACATAACCCCTTCCCCAACCAGTTCGAATATTCACTGTTCTTGGCTTTATGGTCTTTAGGTAAAACATCTATACCCTTCATCCCTGTGAGGTACAAAATCAGATAGGTCCTTCCTGCCTGGTTCTTTTTCAAGACAGGGTCTCACAGGCCCACTGGCTAGGCTGGAACTCAACACTATAGGCCAGGGCTGACTTTGAACTCATGGAGATCTACCTGTCTTTGCCTCCCAAGTTGAGATTAAAGGATTTCACTAATGCCTCTGGCCCTGCATGGGTCAAAGACAAGATTAAGACTAAGACAGCAAGTGCAAAGTGCCTGCCACACTAGAGATGCCCATCCGACCATGTGTGCCCTAAATACCCCTGTCCACACTCAGCCCCCATCCAGGTGACTACATCCACCACACGTGGCCAAGATGACTTTCCCTGCTGCCAAAATTACTGCCTTCCAAGAGGTGCAAAGTTCTGCCCGTCCAGCTCTGGTGCTGATGTAAATCAGAGTTCCGGAGATGCCTTGAGAGGTGACAGGTTCCTTGGAGTTAGTGCCCTCTGCAGTGTTCCTTATAAGGCTGTACTTCTCGTTCAGAGATGTGAGTCACTGCGGGGTTGCTAGATAAATGCACAAAAGGATAAACATGCTGTTACAACCTCGTGGAGGCTAAGTTCAGCTCATGACTACAAGGCAATTTTCAGGAGGCCAAAGTAGGTAAAATAACAATCGATCCTTGGGGGTCGTGTGTGTGTGTGTGTGTGTGTGTGTTTGTGTGTGTGTGTGTTTGTGTGTGTGTGTGTGTGTGTGTGTGTGTGTGTGTGTGGTTTTGTGGGTTTTGGTTTTATGGGTTTGGTTTTTGGTTTTTGTTTGTTTATTGTTTGTTCTTTTGAGTAAGTGCTATTTGCAAAGACGGCACTGTGTAAGATTCAAAAACGGGAAAATGAAGGAGACAAAATGAGCAAAGATGAAAGCGCTGCTCTGGAAGAGATTACAGGCTACTTAAGGAAGTGGAACGCCTATAGCGGAATAGAAAGCTCACGCCACAAAACAAGATATACAATCCATGCAGGGAGGAGGCGCAGCTTGTGAAAGCTAGTTCCTGCTGAGATGTAGAGCTCAGAGCAGCCTCAGGGGGAAGTGGGCACCAGACCTTGAAGTATCAGGATGCAACCAGGACATAGTACGAGAGAGAGTCTCTCAGGTGTCATGTTTGGGTGGCCCAGTGGCTTTCAGGTCTGTGGCAAAGCAGAAATATTATAATAAAAGGTGTAGGCAAAGAAAATGTGTTTACCTCGTGTATACAGGAAGAAGAGAAAAACGGACAAGAAGGAGCCAGGGGCAAGGTATACCCTTCAAAGATGCCTCCACCCAAGCCAGGCGATGGTGGCTCGCGCCTTTAATCCCAGCACTCCGGAGGTGGAGGCAGGCAGATCTCTAGGAGTTGGAGGCCAGCCTGGTTGACAGAGTGAGTTCCAGGAGAGGTTCCAAAGCTACAGAGAGAAACCCTGTCTCGAAAAACAAAACAGAGCAAAAAAGATGCCTCCACCTTACCCTGTGATAGCACTTCTTCCAACCAAAGCCCATCTCCTGTTAGCCCAGTGGATTGATCCACTCATGGTACAGTCTCCTCTCAATTGCATTATCAGCTGGGTGCCAAGGTCTCTTTTGGTGGGACACTTCATGTCTAAACTGTAACACCAATTCAATTTTAAGCACACATAAATCCCCTTCCAAGTCCCTCCAGGAAAGAATTATGTGTGGTTAGTTTTCAAATGAACAGTAAAATTCACAGCTTATGTAGCCCTTTTCCTTCCCACACACAGACACATTCTTAAAAAAAAAAAAATCTGGGAATCATCCCACTACTGAGAATGTCCAGTTGCTGAAGATGGGTGAGCCTATTTGTGGCCAATTTAGAAGCAGATAAGCTTTTGAGCCCAGACTGTTCTTTTGCAGCCGTCTGGATCCAGTTACTGCCTCTCTTGCTGGACGATAGGTCCATCCGCTCATTCTCCATTCAACAGGTGTTTGCTGCAGGCTTCCTACATGTCAAGCATTTTGTTAGGATGATTGCTCAACAAACTAAGAAGTCAGTGGTCTTTCTTGGTAAGTTGTACCCCAAGTCAACCATTTGCCCGGACCCAATACCTACCCATCCTTGACTCCTCCCCATCTCTCAACATCTTCATTCAATAATCAACCACCATGACCTGATACTGTATCCTTAATGCATTTGAAATCCTTGGATTTCTTCCAACCCCATCTCCTCTTCCTTACTCTAAGCCTCCACATTCACTGTCAGCAACCACCTCCTAATAACTTTTCCTGCTTCCAGACTTGTTCTCATCCATTTTAATTGTCAAACCACAGCGTGTAGCAAGGAATCCAGGCTCACTTAAAGAGATGCCTGACTTTATGGGCCTCCTGGGAGGAAATCTCTAACCTCTGGAATATAAGGTAGCTTTCTCATTGTTTGCTGTTGGGTTTTGGGGGGTTGTTTATTTTTTGTTTTGTTTTACTTTTCTCTTTGGCTCTTTGCTCGTTGGGGGCCCACTACCCAGCTTCCAAATAAATACACAGAGTCTTATTCTTACTTGTGAATGCCCAACCTTAGCTTGGCTTGTTTCTTACCAGCTTTTCTTAAATTATCCCATCTATTGTTTGCCTCTGGGCTTCCGTCTTTCTCTATTCTGTATACCTTTCTTTACCTCTTACTGCATGGCTTACTGGGTAGCTGCCTCTGGTGTCTTCTCTCCTTCTCCCTCTCTCGCTCCTTCTCTTCCCAGATTTCTCCTATTTATTCTCTCTGCCTGCCAGACCCACCTATCCTTTCTCCTGCCTAGTCATTGGCCACTCAGCTCTTTATTAGATCAATCGGGTGTTTTAGATAGGCAAAATAACTCAGCTTCACAGAGTTAAACAAATGTAACATAAAAGAATGCAACACATTTTTTCCAATCATTAAACAAATGTTTCACAGCATAAACAAATGTAACACATCTTCAACTATTATTCTACAACAATTGTTTTGGCAAAATACTTGGCAAAGATAATTTCCATAAGCAAAGTTTGCAGTTCGAGGGTACCATTCACCATGTCAAAGGAATTAAGGTAGCAGAAGCAGAAACATTAGGCGACTGGGCATGCTGCATCCATAGTCAGGAAACAGAGACAGATGAATGCTTGTATCAGCTGGCTTTCTTCTTGTCATTCAGTTTGGAAACCCAGCCCATAAAACAGCGCTACCCTCAGCTAGGCTGTGTCTTCATTAGTTTTCTACCAATGTGATAAAACACTAAGATTAAGGCAACTTGTAGAAGAAAGAGTTTGTGTGCTTTCAGTTCCAGTGGGTTAGGGTTCATAACATCAGGGACAGCAGGCAGCCAGACGCTGAGAACTCACATCTCAAGCTGTCATCAGGGAACAGAGTGACCTGGGGCTGGTGGGAAGCTTTGAAATCCCCAGGCTCATCTCTAGTGGCACACTTTCTTGAGCAAGGCCACACCTCCTAATCCTCCCCAAACAACAAAATCAAAGCCAAAGAACATGAAGACATTTCATTCAAACCCCCACAGTGTAGACCTTCACACCTCAATTAACCCAGGGTAGAAAACCCTTCACGGACATGCCCAGAGATCCGTTTTCATGGTGATGGATCATCTAGATCCCATCAACTTGACAATCAAGAGTGACAGAGGTGACTTTGTTATTCATTGTGAGTCCCTCATTTGTTGTGTGATGAATAGGGATTGAGGTTGGACAAGCAGACTAAGTGGTTATAGGGTTGGAGCTTTCTATCAAATGAGATAGCCTGATCTCTGAAACAGGAGGTACCTGAAAACTGAGTCAAACCAAACAGACAAAAATCCAATCAACAATGCCTAGCTAATGAAGCCTCAATAAACACTGTGGACCTGAAGCTAAAGGGAATTTCCCTAAAGGCTATTGTCACACAAAACTGTGTGTCCTACTTTATACATTTTTTCCTTTATTTTAAGTTTGTATTTTTTACTATAATAAAAACTAATTATAAATCACCATAATTCTGTGACTCATTTAAACCTAGAGACAGTTTCGGGGATCACCAAATCTGCAGCTAGATTTCCCGAATTAGATGGCAGCCATGCCTGACCCTCCAAAATGGGGCTGGTATCCCACATGAGTGTATTTTTGTGGGAACTGTGCCCCTAACTTTAAGTTTTACTAACTTGCTATACATGGTCAGAGAGGATTTCTAAAATGGGATTGTGACTGTATTACACATCTGTCTAACACACTTTCAGGATGCCCCACTCTCACCAAGATGAAGTCTGAGAACCTAACTAATCAGGCTCCTAAGACGACTGAAGGGCCAGGCTCCACTTTGTGCTCCAGGCTCACGTGTACCAAGCCTCTCAGACTGAACATTTCAGCCATATTGAGCCACCTGCCGTTCTCTGGGTCCTCCAAGACTCTCCCCTTTCCAAGTTTTAGAATACATGTCACTTGTCATAATCTCCCCACCCCTCCTATTTAGCTCACTCCCACTATCCCTCCAGATCTCAGCTTAAATGTCACCTCTTCTGCCTGGTATATCTTGTGTCAGACTTACACACTCTCCCCTCTCAGCACACTTAACCTGGGTTGAAACAGCCTGGCATCTCCTCTGTCCCCACCCCCACCCCGGCCCTCACTATAAACTTCTGATCATGGCTAATATGTTTTCTTCCTTCTTTTGTCTTCTGGGGCTTAGCAGATTGGCAGGCAACCCAAAGAGAGAAATTATAACAGTGCGAGAGATAAACAGCAGACATTAACATGAGTAGGGTCAAAGGAATGAATGGCTTCAGAGAAAGACTTTGGACAGCACCCAGGTTATATCCAACAGCTGGCCAAAAGTCATCGCTCATGGTAGCTTTACCCACGGGTAGTTAAAATCATTAGCGTGAGGCTGACTCTGTTGATTTCAACATCAGAGGATGAGCTGCTTTGATTTTTGTTCCTGGTATTGAGACAAGTTTTGTCCAAAGACCAAGTTTGAAATTGAAATTGTCCTTTGGTCATCCTTGAGCCTAGCATTTCCAACTCCACCATTTATGGATTTATGTGAATAATGGCATCTGTGATAGTTTATTTTGAGGCAGAGTTTCAATATGTAGCCCTGGCTGACCTAGAACTCACTATGTAGATCAGGTTTCCCTCAGGCTCAGAGATCCACCTGCCTCTGCCTCCTGAGTGCTGGGATGCTGAGTGCTAAGTGCATGTGTGACCAAGCCTGGATGTCTTCAATATTCTAGCAAATAATTAATCTATTATTCAGTGTCTCTGGTCGTTTGAATAGGGATGCCCCCCCATAGACTCTAAATTTGAATGGTTGGTCACCAGGGAGGTACACTATTGGGAGGCGTGGCCTTGTTGGAGTAGATGTGGTTTTGTTGAGTAAATGTATCACTAGGGGCGGGTTTTGAGGTTTCAGATGTTCAGGCCAGGTGCCCAGTGTTTCTCTCTTCCTGCTGCCTGCTGCTCCAGATGTAAAACTCTTGTGATCTCTCCAGCACCATGTCTACCTGTGTGCCACCATGTTTTCTGCCATAGCAATAATGGACTAAACCTCTGAACCTGTAAGCCAGCCCCAATTAAATGTTTTCCTTCATAAGAGTTGCCATATAGCATTGACTAAGACTGTATTCATTACCAGTAATGCATACAAGCATGAGAATCTATTTACACTTCCTTATTAAGTATTGCTTGACCAAACACTTGCTAGTATCAGCAGAACGGTATCTCCAGGTGCATTTTAGCTTCTGGTAAAAAAAAAAAAAAAAACAAAAAAAAAAACTCTTCTTTCCTTTTCCCTTCTTTCCCTTTCTTCCTAGAATAGAGGAGTTATCCCTGGACTCCCCTAGGGCACTGGTAGGGGCAAGGGATCCACACAGAGATACATTGATGGTATACCTGTTGGTGTCCAAGTATTCAACACACAGGGTATAAGGCAAGGATCAGAGAGAAAAGGCACAGCTGATATGATTGGTTTGTTACTTGACATAAATCATTGAAAAAAAAAGGACATGTATGAAGGAAACACACACATACACACACACACACACACACACACACACACACACACACACACACTGGTTGAGCCAGCATGGTATCCCACACCTTTAATCCCAGCACTTGGGAGGCAGAGGGAGGCAGATCACTGTGAATTCAAGGCCAGCCTGGTCTGCAGAGTGAGTTCCAGGACAGCCAGAGCTGCTACACAGAAAAACCCTGTCTCAAAAAAAACAAAAAAGAAGAAGAGGAGGAGGAAAAAGACTGATTTAAGTGTATTGAAATCAAGGCTAATCTATAAACCACCTATTTTGTAAATATGTAAACATAGGTCGATTTAGAAATGACTATAGTTATAGATGTGTGTATGTTTATGCCTATGTGTCTTTCCAGTCGACCCACCAGAAGCAATGATACCTCAGTCACAATGAACACAATAAGGGGCCAGCTCCTGGTTTCTCAACACCGTCCTCTGCTGAAAGGAAGGGAACTTCGTTGGAGAACGAGAGGATCCTAGGCTTGGAGAAAGGGAAGCCTGGATTGTATTACCATGCTAAGGAGAAATGGCTGAGAATTACGGGAAGTGTAGAAGCACTAAGAACTCATCTGAATGGGCTTGACCCACCATGTCTGGAACAATTGGAATATTAAAAAAAAAAAAGCAGACTGGCAATGAAGTAGCATCTGCAGACTAAAATAGGGTTCGTCACTGAAATGCATATATAAACAAATACAAAAAAAGAAAAGCCCTTTATTTCAGTAGTTCGCCAACTAATCAGAGGAGAAGGGGATGATGGAGATGGAAAACCATTTGGCAGCTGTCACGCTGGCAGTTAGCTCCAGCAGGAGACATCAACAGAAACCAAGATTGGTAAGTGGGAGTTTGATCAAAACAGGAATATCACCTCACAAAACTACAATTCATTTTAAAGGGGGTAAATGACAACTTCACACAGGGAAATCTGTTATCAAGATAAACAACACAAAGCCAGGTGTGGGGGTGCACTCTCCTTTAATCCCAGCACTCGGAAGGCAGAGGCAGGGGGATCTCTGTGAGTTCGAGGTCAGCAGCCTGGTCTACAGAGTGAGTTTCAGATAGCCAGAGTTGAAACACAGAGAAACCCTGTCTTGAAAATTAAAAATAAAAAGTAAATAAAAGTAAAAAATAAAAAAGATAAACAGCACCAGCCGTTTGACTGGTGCACCCCATCATGGTTCCCTTGTGGGATTTGCTGAGAAGTGGATTTTGTCATTTCCGTGCTATTCTTGTGAATTGTAGGCAATGTCTGGTCACGAGAAGACACCAGACAGATCCAGAAGTGTCCAGCACAACACAAGACCTACAAAAGAGTTGAAGAAGCCGAGTGTGGTGGCACATGCCTGTAACCTCAGTGCTTGTAAAGATGAGGCAAGAGCATTTCCAGGGCAGCCTAGATTTCACAACAAGAGTACACAGCAACTATTCCAGATTGAAGAAAACTAAAGAGACACAAGAACTAGGCAACATGTACTTCTGGTCCAGAAAGAAAGAGGGGGCATTGTCAACACAGTCTGAAAATGTGCACACAGTCAGTGGATTGGACGGTGGTGACACATGGCAGTTCATTCCCTGACCTGGTGTATGGTGGGTAGGAAGATTATATAGTTCAAGATGTGCAAAGAGTAAATAACACTTTGACAAGGTCCGAGAACCCAGGTTCATCACTTCACATAACAAAATATATAATTACATGCAGATACTCCTTCATTTATGATGTGGTTACAGTCTAGTAAACTCATCGTAAGTTGAAAACATTAGAAGCTGAGAATGCACTTCATCCAACAAGCCTACCAAACACCACACTTAGCAGCCGAGCACTCCAGAGCGTTAATTGTTCCCCTTGACATGAAGTGGCCATGTGAGAGTTAGAACTCACTGCTGTGGCCCAGCACCCTGAGACAGTGCTGTACTGCATAGCGCTTGCTCAGGACAAGATGAAAATTCTAAATTCTAACTGAATTTGTATGACTTTTGAAAAGCCATAACATTGAAAATGTTTAAGTCAAATCACAAGTTGGAGAAGGGTATCTGTACCAAACACTCACTTTGCCATACCAGGGAGCTACCCTGCAACCTTGTTCTCTACTTGCTATTAGGTCTATCTTTAAGAATTAATGTCCTTCCTGGTCCAAACTTCAGCGGCTCTTTGTTCATTGGGGATGAAGATTCTATTCTATCTTGAAGCATTAGATAGGAGGTTTGTCTGTTTGTTTGTTTGTTTGTATTTTACAAGAGAGGTGTATGTAAGCCCATTTTTTTTGGTAAGATCCGTCAAAGCCTAAGTCATTGGTTCTCAACCTTCCTAATGCTCCAACCCTTTAATACAGTTCCTCATGTTGTGGTGACCCCAACCATAAAATTATTTCATTGCTACTTCATAACTGTAATTTTGTAACTATTATGAATCATAATGTAAATATCTGATATGCAGGATGTCTGATATGCAACCCCCAAAGGAATTGTGACTCACAGGCTGAGAACCGCTGGTCTAAGTGGTACCCTGCTGCCTGCTGTCTCCACAGCCATGTTCTGAAACTAGTCTGCTTGTACAAGTTCAAAATTCATCACATCATTTCTTAGCAGAGCTGGCATACACACTTGTACACACATCACACATTCCATGCAGAGCAACACTGGAAAAAATAGCCACAGTTAGGTTGGTATGTACTTCAGGAGCGACACGGGCTCGCACCTGGAGGAGCTAGTCATTAGCTGACTTTCTTTTACCCATTCATTCACTCACAGAGCCTCCAGACTTATGAGAAGACACCAGGATGAAGCATTTAGGTCTGTTTTGGGAGCCACAGGTAGGAGTGAAAGAGGGCTTCACTGAGACAGAGTCAATTGTCCACTAAAGAGGTAGTGGGACTTTCCTGGGAGCAGGGGAAGCATGGAGTTGTGAAAAAAAAAAAAAACATACTAGGTAACAAAGCAAGTAAATGCTTTTAAGGTGAAAGAGTTGGGTGGAGGAAAATGATGGGGAAAGATGGGGGGAAGAGGGGACATTCCTCCTGAGAGAGCCCCTGACCTCTACGATCATCAGTTTTAGATGTCAACACAATTTAGAATCACAGGTTCTAAATCCCTCCGTGAGGGATTGTCTGGATTGGTTGGACTGTGGAAATGTCTGTGGGGGATTGCTTTGATTATTTACTATATGTGGAAGGCCCAGTCCATTGTGGGTGGCACCGTTCCCTAGGTTTTGGATCCTGGACTGAATCCAAGTAGAGAAAATGAACTGAGTTGTAAGCATGCATGCCCACGGATGTGATGTGACGAGCTAACTTATTAAGTTCCCGCTGCCTGACTTTCCTGCTGTGACGGACTATAAGCAGGAACTGAGAACTTAAACCATCTCACCACTAAGTTGCTTTCTACCAGAGTACTTTGCCACAGCGATGGAAACAAAACTCAGAGCTATGAGAACACCAAATGTCACCAGTGTGACAGTAGAGCTGTCCTGTCACAGAGTTCGCATCCCAGCTCCACCCTCTGCTAGCTTCGTGACCTCGGGCAATCATTTACCCTTTCTAAGACCCTGGTCCATCTGGCACTGAACAGGAGTGCAGACCAACCACCTCCTGAGCTGCCATGAGCCTTGACTTAGGAGAGTCTCTCTCAACTTTGGTCCCTGCTTCTGACATCCCTGCTTCCTCAAACTACATGAAACTTGAACGTCCATCAATCATTCTCATTTGCCTCTGCTATTTATCTCAGTGTCCCAGTTCACTCAGAAAAGCCTAATTTTCTTCCCATTCATGCTCTATTAACTTCTCTGACAACTTCAGGTGATGAAGGAGCACCATTCAACCATAGAGGTTAGGGAGACACCGGGACCCTGCACATACGATCTCCCTGCAGGGGGCAGCATCAGGCAATGTAAACGATGCCAGGACTCCCTGAACCCTCAAGGTTGATCTGGAGGACCCTACTCCAGTTGACAAAGGACCCATTTTATTCCTGCTGGGTTTGATACAAGGTCTCAAGGTATCCAGGTAGTCAGGTCTTTAGTGCACCCCGTGTCTGTGTGTGTGTTGGGGGGGGGGGTTATTTGTAAAGAATCCCTGACCAGCCCAGCTGAGTTTCCCTGAAGCCTCACAGAACCGCAGTGCCAATGCCAGGGCAAACCACGCCGGGTCTCCCACCCACCCGCTCTTGTTACAGATACACACTCAACAATGCGGCAATGGGAGAGTCCTTGACAAGGGAAAGATGGGGGCTTAACACTTCCCACTCGGCCTGGGGGGACACAGCCTGGCATTAAGCAATTGATATTGAGAACACGTGGGGATGTGAAGCTGGAAGCGTAGATAGGGCACACATTACCACGGGCTGTTTTTAAGAGGGCACGATAGTTCTGGGTCCCAAAAGTCCCCCACTCATGGTCAGACATAAGACGATACTCTACAGTTCCTGCATCTATTCATATGGGAGATCAAAGACACAAAACTGTCAAATCATCAAGATGGGCTGCAGATGTAGGTCTGTTAGCAGTGTGCTTGCCTAGCAGGTACCAACCCAAGGGCTAGCTCCCCAGCGTGGGTGGGACATGCCAATAATCCCCCGGCACTCCTCGGGTAGAGGCAGGAGGATTGGAAATTCAAAGTCATCCTTAGCTACACAGCAAGACCGTGCCAATCTGGAAGACACGAGACCCTCATTAAACAAAATATCACCAAGACTTTCCCAGAAGTCCAGAGTACAGGATCCTTATGGGGATGAGGATGAGAAATAAGGGAATCTGGGCTGGAGCGATGGCTCAGCAGTTGAGAGACTGTTCTTTGAGAGGACTTTGTTCAATTCCCAGCACCCACATGGCAGCTAGCAACTGTCTATAACTACAAGATCTTACACCCTTCCACAGATATACATGCAGGCAAAACATCGATGAGCATGAGATAAAAGTAAATAAATAATTTTTAAGAATGTGGGACTCTGGGGAAGGGAACTGCTACGAAAGGTGGCACTGAGTGCCCACACAAACTGTGAACACCGACTTTCCCGAGAGAGCTTCAGACCTCTGTGCCTGTGGGAGACTCTTGTCACTCAAAGCTTTTTGGCTTTGGCTAGGGAGGGGAACCACTCTGTCACCATGACATCACCGACCTTCCAGGAACCACTGAGTCAGCTGAGGCCCCAGGCTGGACTCACTTCCTCCATGCAGAAGGCAAGAGGAGGGGGTGCAGGGGCCGGGCTGTGGGCCTGTTCTCATCACCCCCTCCCCCACCCCAGCCCCATGTGGGCCAGCTTCAGGCCCACAGTCCACAGGCACAGCAGTGTGGGGCTGTCTGTGTTCATCCTCACTCGTGCTCGCATCCTGGGGAGAGGCAGAAACCCGTTACCTCCTTGTGAACAAGGAGCTGTTTCTAAGGAGGACCGATCGTGACGGAAGAATTGGGAAAGGGCCGGACCAGATGAAGCTGGGACTAGGAGGACACATGTGGGAGGCTAAGGCTGAGACTAATTGATACCTGTGACTACCTCACAGTCACAAACTGGTCTACATTAGATGTCTCCTACAGCGATGGACAGGCAGATCTGTCCAGGATCGCTCCCTACACGAAAGAGGGTGAACATCGCCACAGCTCAACTCGTCCCGTGAGTATAAACTCAAGGACAGAGTAAGAGGAGACAGACGATCTGCAGCCCCAGGCGGATGTCGTCCTCCTACCTCTCCTCCCAGTGAGTCCCGAGTGCCCTCCCCCACTCAGACCATCTCCTTCCCTGTGATGACGACCCACAGTAGATTCCATCTGTGCCATCAGCACCCATCTCACCTTTGCCTGGAACTCAACAACGTTCTCTCACGCAACTAGCTGGTCTGATGAAAAGGAAAATAAACCCGTGAGCAGTAAAACCGTTTTATGGCGTGGCATGAATCTCTACTTCTCACGTGATCTGCCACGTCTTAACTTTTTATTATATTGATGAACTAAATGCTAACCTAGCCCTGGGTAAACATCTCCATCCAACCAGCGAGAACAGCATGATCTGAGAGGTGAAGAAAGTGGTCCAGGCACACAGCTGGTGAGTGGTAGAGCCAGCCTCAAAGCCAGATCCAAGAAGCGAGGTCTTTCCACATGGGCGCTCTGACTCAAAGCGAGAGCCTCCTCTGCCTCTGAGTCAGCAACGGTAAAATTAGAATTTCACTCAGCAATCACCAAGTCTTAAGGTGAGGGTAGGTGGGTTGGGGACTTGAAGGTTGTCCAGGTTTGTGACCAAAACAGATGTCCAAGTCTCCTACACAGCATCCTGGCTTCTGTTTGGAGGTTACCAAATTCAGGAAGTCTCCTGGTTCGGCACGTGCCCCAGTTTGCCAGGTCTGGAGATCACATGCCCCTGTATCTTCCATGCATTAAATCTGCTATTGGGGTCATAAGAGACCTGAGCCGGGTGTGACCCTGAATGTCCTGTCTTCAGAGTGCATTCTCGGGTCCCTCCATTTACTCCTTTGTGGGTTTTGCTCACCACGCTACTGTGTGAGGTGTTTTACCTGTCTCAATCTCAAGTGAGACTTCGGTTGAATGCAGTAAACTGATGCGACCGTACAACCCTTTAGAAGTGAGCCGACCAGCTCAGAAGAGAAGCAGACCAGATCACACTCGCTATGCTGTGGGCTTGTTTGACCTTATCATGAATGAAAAGCCTTAACTGTGCTGTCCCTGAGGCGCATCCTCCCCTGGGCCTTGTTCAGCTGGGTTTGGGATACACATGACTTGTTCTCAGCATGCAGACAATGCCTACCGCCTAGCAAATGCTTCTGGATAGCTCACGGCTCCCTGTCCCCAGACGCCTAGAACTCAGCTCTGTCCTCTCTCAGGGGCCCAGTTTTGAACCTCCACTCTGAAATGCTGTCGAGGGTTTATCCCGGTACAGACTCATGACTCGTTAAGTATTTCCAGCGAACGCTTAGGAAGTTTACCCATCTACAAGCCACATGGAAGCAAGGGCCTCCGTCACAGGCCCTTTCTCTGCTGAAACAGGATTTGCCAGTGTTTCTACAGTGCTAGGCTGCCATGCAAATACTCATTGAGAGTGTTATAGAGACCCAAACGTAAAGTGGAGCGTGGAGCATTACCCTCAACCTCCAACTTCCCGTAAAGGGCTGTTTCTACTTCCTTGACATTGTACCCGGAGGCTTTGAATAAATGGGAAGGGCACGTGGCACCTTCTCTGCCTCCCCATCCCGTCTGTGCCTTCTGCCGAGCAGTACACAGCATCAAGCAGTCTT